TTCCTGCGTGCTTTACAACAGAACAGAGCACAGTCAAGGCTTCTCTATATGTTAAGTGATTATTGGGATATAATTTTGTGATAGGTTTGTTAGTCAATTTATTTGAAGTCATGAATGATCTTTTAATCTTGTAGCTAAGATCTTTAAAAAACAGTCCTCAACTAATCCATCCAACCTTTGTTCTTTTATGGTTGGATGTTATGAATAAGTAGAGGAATAAATAAATACATAGAAAAAAAACTGAATAAACATGTCAGTAAACAATTGAATAAATTTGAGTGAGAGGCATCTTTTTTATCATTATTAATATTTTAGACATATAGGGACACAGATAATTTATAAAGGCATAAAATGTTTCCTTTCCTTGACTTGAGGTTTTTTGTTGCTGAAAATTATTTAAAATGTGAAAGCATATTATGACCTTGTCATTAAAACTGTTTAATTTCCTGTCAGGTGGGACATGGTTCTATATTACTCCTGACTGGTCCAACTGGAGCAGGCAAAACAGCAACAGTCAATGTACTTGCTAGTGAGTTGGGATTTGAGGTTCAAGAATGGCTCAATCCTGTTAGTGATACAGAAGGTAACTAGAAATGGTAGAGTTACAGCAGTGAAGTACTTTTACATGTAACTACCTGAAAATCCTGGTTGATAAATGAAAATAACCTAAAAGGACTGCTGAAGTAACTGTGTAAGTAAAATTTTTTTTGGACTCTTCTTAATTTCAGTTTACCAGTAGTTTTATCTTGATTCAGCAATGATGTCATGTATAGTATATTAATGTGTATTTTGGGTTAAGATATTTTTTAAGATATAAATTAAGACAAAAGTTTTTTAACCAGTACCATTCATACCCACCCTGTATATAATATCTCATCAGATGAAGGGTATTTTAACTGGAAAAGCCATAGTCAATCCCAGGTGAAAATTTTTCAAGACTTCATAGTTCGTGCTAGCAAGTACCCCACCTTGTCAATATTCAGTGGGAAGGGAGATAATTCTGTCAAGAAAATTGTCCTGGTAGAGGTAAGTATATTGTAAAGGTCTTAAAACTTACTTTCATCATACTCTCAGAGGCCTGTTTTTTGTAATTGCAAGAAAAGGTAAATTGAGGCTTGCATTACCCTTGATATTCTCACACTATAGGCCCCACTGGATACCATCTGCTAATGATTTCAGTAGTGGGCTCTCTCATTGTAGTATTACAGTAATTATGATTATTACCAGGTTTAAAAATATTCAATGACAATTTTACAATCACTTTAAAGTGTACCTTTTGTTGCATAAGGGATATTAGTTGAAGGATTGGTGGCTATCATTGGATCTAGTGATTTATTTTAGAATTATGTAGCATGTTTTAAATTTCTTTATTGCTGTCTGCACTTTTTTTGTAGGACCTTCCAAATATATTTTTTAGAGAGGCTTCAAAGCTTCAAGAGGTTTTGAGGTAAGTGATGTTGATTTAGTTTGAATCCCAAAAATATCAAATTTTGACTAGGATGAAGTTATAGTGACAGAAATAATTGGTTTTTAGACTACTCTGAATCAATCTGAAAAGGCTTCCCTTTATGCATCACAAATATATGAAAGAAGTCAGTGTTGTTTTTCAAATTTTAGTGGGGAATGGTAAACTGACAGATACATGTGGGATGTAATATTTTATCATGATCATGTTTCTAACTGCTCAACAGCACATATAAACAGAGAGGGCAAGTTCCTATAGTATTTGTCATCTCTGACAGCCACCATGGTGATTCAAATGTTCACAAATTACTTCCCAAAGATGTTCAGGAAAAACTGAAGATTCATAACATCAGGTAAAAGTATTGTAACTAATGTAAGGTGTTCAACATTCATATATGTAGACTTGCCTTGTTTCATACTTAGATTATATTCTACTAAACACTACATTAAATTTGTCACTTACAGCTTCAACCCAATTGCACAGACCAGCTTGGTGAAAGCCTTGAACAGAATAATATCAACTGAAGCTCAACTGGTAAATAAGACACCTCCTATTTGTCAGTTCATCTCAAGATCTTTTTAGTAATTCTTCTTACTATCTGCCATACAGTTCTTTTGATGTTAGTGTAGAGAATTTGGCATTTGATCAGTTGATAATTCCCTTAATGATTTTTCCCTTCATTCTCAACACTTTTCCGCTTGATATTATAGTGCTATTGTAGGGAGAAATGCTGTGTTGGTCACTTATGGGAGGTTAAGGGTTCATTTTCCCTCTTCCCCCGCTATAATCCTCAGTTGCTTCAAAAAGTCTAAAGATAAAGAAAACCACAAAAAGGTTAAGAGTTGCTAATTATTGAAAAGATCATTCACTTGGTAAGATTTCAGTTTCTAAATTTCTACGTTATTTATATTCCCTTTTTAGCAGAATAAAACAACATTTGAGATTCCAGTTAAAGATACTGTTCAGCTCTTGGCTCAGAACAGTGGAGGAGACATTCGCACAGCCATCAATGGTCTCCAGTTCTCCTCTTCAAAAGGTGAGATTGCTGGGATCAATGATGGGGTTTCCAGAGATTTTCCCTGTGTCACATTAAGAATTTTAGTAATTGCAGTAGATCATTTTGAAGTTTTTTAATTTTCTAATTACAGATCACATTTCCTTTTGTACGGAAAGTTAACATAAAACATGATAGTCTTTAAATTTTTTCCAAGTTATAACCTTTGATCTGAAATTCAACCATCACAGATAAATCACGCACCACCCAAAAGGGGTCTAATGTGTCAAAGAAAGATGACAGAAAACCAAACAAGTCAAAATTAAAGAAAACAAGTAGTTCACTGCCAAACAAGATGAACACTTCAGAATCAGTTCAGCTATCCTCTAAATGTCTTCTCTATGGAAAAGAGACAAGAAATAACCTTGAATCAGAAGCAGTCACTGCTATTGGTGGAAGAGACTCAGGTTTATTCCTCTTCAGAGCTCTAGGGAAAATACTGTATTGTAAAAGTGAGTTATTTATGTTGCATTAAAATTTTCTGCCTGTTGGTAGATGCAAAGGGGAGTACCTGAAAGGCAGTGCATAAGAAACTGTGATATTCATAATAGACATGTTTCATGTTATGTTTTAGAAATGATAGTAATTTTGGTTCCTGAAGGTAGTGTGTAAAAATACTCTAAACATTGATTTTTTTCTTTGTAAAGGAGATCCAACACTTTCTGACTCAGACTTGCTTCCATCTCACCTGTCACATCATGCCAGAAACCAGCTGTTGTTCTGTCCAGAGGTAGTATGAAAATTATTTTCAATTATTTATTTTATGTTGTTGTTGTGTTGGATTTTCAGAGCTTATATTGTTAATAAGCACTCTATCCCTTAAAAAACTCAGAACTTAAAAACTAATTATAATAACAGTAAATCATAAAGTCCTCATGAGAAGGGTAATATCTTTTTTTAGTAAGGAGGAATATATAAATACCCTCAGAATAGATTGATGTGTAAGCTTTTTTTTTCAAAATGTGTATCACCTAATATGAATAACCCCAAAAGACAAATGTCAACAATTATTTTCGATATTCTTATCCAGGGTAATAAGTGGCCTGTTTCCTTTTTTATGCAGGAAGTGTTGGAGAAAACACATCTCTCAAGTGAATTTTTTAATCTCTACCTTCATCAGAATTATTTGGAATTCTCTGCTGATATTGATGATGTGGTAGGTAAAGAATGTCCCACTGAATATTTCTAGTACTTAAATCATTTACAGCTCTCTTCTTCAATAACAGTTTAAGTAACATGTACAGGTATAGCATTATATACAGTTGTTGCTTAATACCTCAGAACTCCATTCAACCCATTTAATGTAACAACACAATGTTTATATAAAAATTTGGGCTTAAAATTGATCCAAATTATTTGTAAAAGAAGTCATTTTGATTTGTATTGTCCACCTACCATTGCAACATACTTTCATATAATTTTGATCCTTTTTCTGTCTATGATTCTTAGGTGAATATTAGTGAACATTTCAGTGAAGCAGACTACATGACTAAAGAATGGATGGTAAAGATCTCTCATTTTATTTTTCATCTGTTGATACCCAACGTGATTGGAAAAAAATTACTTGATTACATCATTCATGGACCATAGGAGTAGCTTCCTTCAAGTTGCAGAGGGCCATTGCAATTGTTTATCTGGATAATAAACTTTGTTCACAAAGGGGCTGTTGTGTCAAACAAATGCTAAAAAGTCCTCGTAATAATATCACAGTTTCAGTCCTCCATGAAGGAGTACAGCTCATGTCTGGCAGCAAGAGGGTTGATATTTAACAGCAGATCAGCAGGGAAATCATCAAGTTCTAGTGGGTCAGGGAGAGGATGGAGACCACTTCATAAACCACAGTTGTTTGAGGTCAATAAGAAGGTAAATTATTTCAGGATAAAAGTGGAGGTTCAAATTGCTTCTTTATGTGAGTTGACAGGGAAATAAAAATATTGATGAAAACATACTAGCAATAGCATAGTTATGCCCCTTCCCCCTTCCATTGTACATTTAATTTAAACTTGTGACAAAACAGTCACTTAAAAAAGTATGTTGTACAAAATCCATTGAAAACGATAAAATGTTGCATACTTTAAACACACCCTCCTCTAATATGGGTTTAAATGACCCTCTCACAGAACTAAGATTGAGATGTTTATTTTTAATTGGTACTGATGATGATGATGGTAGTGTGATACTGAATTACTTTCAGATGCGGGATGGTGTTAACACTGCACAAGATCTCTTCAGAGGTGAGACTTGTGCTGTCATCACTAAATCATTTTGCTGTGGCCAAAGGGGACTTGTCAACCAACAAGTAGGCAATATTGTTAATGAAGGGGAGGGGAGTAGTAGGGTTAAGATCTAGAATCTTGCTTACCCCAAATAAAGAAGTGTTATTTTGGTTGACAGCGATAATTTTGTTGACTTCCTAAGATTACCACTGTCCATCATTAGTTCTGCAAACAGAGGTCCTTCCATACTTGGCCATCACTGATGTTCCCCTGCGGACACCTGGTTTGTTACAATATGAACCATTTTGTTTATTTATCATTTTTATGAATTTGACTATGTCTCTATTTATTATTCTTCTTCCTCCTCCTTGTGACAAACCTAAAACCTCATCAGAATTCTGGGATGGTTAAGGTTCCATTCACTCTCAGTTAACTGAATTGTTAATCTTTCTTGTGTTTAGGACAAATTGCCTTCTTGCAAGCTATCAGCAATTTCAGAAAATCTAAGCATCCATTCAGGTAATGTCCAATAATGAACGACGTAGAAGCAAGCAGATAAATTTTACAGTTTTCATACTGATTGTGGTTCAGATGCCAACTTTTCACTTTCAAAAACAATATATTTTTTCGGTTTTTTTATTTGTAGGGGTGGCACAGATATGCTTGATGAAAAAGACTGTGGTATGAATAGTGATAATGATGACGAAGTCCATGTTAGTTCCCAACCAAATGGGAATGGCACCCAGGGAGCTAATAAGTGCCT